GCCGGCGTCTGTTGACGGGCAGGCTCATCCACGTTTCCGCCAGACACCATCTGTTGGAAACCTTGAGCCAAGGCCCCCAGAACCCGAGTCGCCTCCTGTAGGGCTTCCACCCCGACATTGAGTCGAACTAGGTCCATGCACGGAGCATGACGTCGGCCTCCCCCCGCCGGCTGCGGACCGAGCGCTCACCTTGGGTGTGGTTGAGCGTCGCCCTCAGGTCGCCGTGGCCTGACAATCGGTTCCGAAGGTCGCCTTAGGGCGCCGCCCTCCTGCCCTGTCCATGGTTGTCGAGGGCACGCTGGCGGCCTGACCCGGTTGATTCCTCGGTGTGGACTGAGACATGGTCACGTCGGGACGAGATTCCGGCCATCTTCCTGTGCGATTCCTGCTCAAGTGATTGTGAGAGACAATAGAGGCTCTCAATGAAAGCACCAATGTTGGTCCAAAATAGGACGCTCGTAGGCTTTTAGGAAAGCTACGAAAGACACTCAAGCAGGAAATCAAGAAAGCAGTACGAGAATGGAAAGTTGCTCAGGGATTTTTGTTGCCAAGAATAGCATGTCTGTATTTGAATCACGACTTGCCTTTTATAGGCTGTTTACAAATGGTAACTGCCGAATAATAATGGCTAAATTAATTACATCATTAATACGGAATTAAATACATAATTAATAGCGCATTCATTGTTGGCCGTTACACTTCGTGGCTGGCCGGCCGGACGCTTGAGCCCCTTTGACGGCAGGCTTGGAAGGCAGGCCCCCTGCTGGGCCAGAGGCGAGCTCCTGGCTAGGCCGGAAGGCAGGCTTCCGGTTGGGCTGGTAGGCAGGCCATCTAAGGCCTCCACTCAGTTGGATCTCCGCTCCTTGATGGGCTTGATCAAATGGGCCGGCTTGAGATCTGGATTGCTGGGTCCGTTGGTTGGGCCTATTGATCCAAGTTCGGGGCCTGGGCCAATTAGGCATTGGACCTAGTCCCATAACCCCATCAATCTAGACTAAGATGAATATAATATGTGATCCCGAGAATATCGGATGGTTCCCGCTCCTGAGTGGGCCCCACACGCATTTTACAATTTACGGAAAAGAAATAACAAAAAATTTACAACCTCGTAAATTCAATAACCATTCTTCAAGGTTCAATACATAATTTACTAAAAAGTAAATATATTTGGAGACAGTGTTACAAGTTCACCCCCTTATTTGGGATTTCGTCCCCGAAATTAACGTGTCTAATAAAAAACAAACAAGTATTGCTTCCTCATTGATACCTCAGTCTCCCATTTTTCTTCTTCGACTCGATTACTCCTCCACAATACCTGTACCACCAGAATCTCTTTGTCCCTCAATTTATTTACTTGTTGTCCGACTACCTTAACTGGTTCCACAGCATATTGCAAGGGCTTCGCGAATTTCTACATGTGCTTTCTCGAGAATATGTGACGAGTCTCGTACACATCTCTTGAGCATCGATACGTGGAACACATCATGAATTTTCTCAAGTTCAGGTGTCAACTTGAGATGGTAAGACATGACCCCGATCCTTACAAGGATTTCAAACAAACCAATGCATTGCGTGTTGAGCTTACCCCTTGCTATGAATCAGATGATACCTTTTCAAGGAGAAAAATCCTTAGGAAAACTTCATCCCCGACCTCAAACTCCAACGGCCTCTGCCGTTTATCCGCATAGCTCTTCTTCCGATCTTGAGCAGCGTTGAGTCTATCTTGTATGGTCTTCACCTTATCCTTGGTGATCTCAACAAGCTCTATTCCTTCAAGTTTGCCCTCGCCAACCTCGTTCTAACACAATGGTGTCATGCACTTCCTCCCATACAATGACTCATATGGGGCATGCCAATACTCACCTGATAACTGTTGTTATAGGCAAACTCTACTAAAACCAAATGTTTGTCCCAACTCCCTTGAAACTCCAAAACACATGCCCTAAGCATGTCTTCCAAAATCTATATCATCCGTTTGGATTGCCCATCTGTTTGTGGGTGAAAAGTTGTGCTAAACTTTAGTTTAGTTCCCAAAGATGCTTGAAACTTTGGCCAAAATCTGGATGTGAACCATGGGTCTCTATCTGAGACAATGAATATCGGAACCCCGTGCAATCTCACAATCTCTTTAGTGTATAACTTGGCCAATCTCTTGAGGGGATAAACAATGTTGATAGGCAAAAAAAGTGCACTCTTAGTGAGCACATCAACCACTATCCATACAACATCGTAGCTGTTTACTGTTCGTGGTAGTCTCATCACGAAGTGCGTATTCACATATTCCCACTTCCATTTTGGAATGGTAAGTGGTTATAAAAGTCCCGCTGGGTGCTGGTGCTAAGAAGAGAATCCAATGCTCCAATGTGTTTGAACTCACTTCATCCAAAAACATTAAGAGGTCATTTGGCAGCACTGTTTTTCGGCTTATCAAGCTTATCTGCCAACTTTTTCACCAAACACGCAACTTTTTCTTTCGCGCGCTGAATTGTGTAATAAGCAGAAAAAGTAAGGTTGGAGTTACTTTTCTGGCTATATTGGCTGGAGTTACTGTGGATGACTATTTTAGCTATTTTTACATATAATTTTTTTCTTTATTTTATTAGTAAAATATATTTTTAATTTTTTTCTTAAATCAGCAGATCAGCCAATGCAGCCACTTCAGCCAGAACTTCATAAATTTCAGCAGAATCAGCCAAATCAGTCGATTTTGGTGCTACCAAACGGGCTCTAAAAAATTAATGAGTTTTTGTACATCGAAATGTGTACTTTTAATTTCATAATTAATTAGAGAAAAAATAAAAATAAAAAATTACTTATAATAATTTAATTAATATTTTATTAAATTGATGTAAAAAATATGTAGAATGTTTTTTTTTTGCCAAAATATGGATGTGAACCATGGGTCTACCAAAATATGTAGAGTGTATTTTGTTGTCAGTGCTGGAAATCTGGAACGCAGAGCAATTAGAGTCAAAACACTATTTTCAAAGTTCATTTTTGACATTTTAGCCTCCATGCCACTTCAAATGGTGTAATGGCTGGTTCAGGCTAGGAATTAGGGAGTGTTTGCAAATGCTTTTGATTTAAAAAAGCACATTTTGAAGACATTTTGGAAAAAAATGATTAATAGTAAACATTGATATTAAGAAAAAAAGTGATTTTGAAGAGTAAAATTACTCCCTCCGTCCTAGAAAATTCTTCCCACTTTGACTTGGCACGGAGATTAAGAAAGTGGAATAAAGTGGAAATGCGTGGTTGTGTAAGAAAAAGGTGAAATGAATGTGAACCACACAAATTGTTCAAAAAGGAAAGTGTGAAGAATTTTTTGAGACGACCCAAAAAGGAAAGTGAGAAGAATTTTATGGGACGGATGGGGTAATATTGTTTAGTATAAAAAGGGAATAAGGGTCAGTTTGGTCCTCGAAGTTGCAAAAAAGGGGTCAAATAAGTCCTTATATGGAAGATTCTGTCCGGACGTGCCATTTGAGGTGGCTCTCGGTAGAAGTTTTTGATGAAATTTTTTGAGCATCTTATTCATTAAGTCTAGTTTACTCATACCAAATTTCAAATAAAAATTTAATCGGGAAGACATTCACATGAATTCTTGAAGATAACTGTGCCGTTAAAAGCGTTGTTATCTTCAAGAATTCATTTTAATGTCTTCCCGATTGAATTTTTATCTGAAATTTGGTATGAGTAAACTAGACTTAATGAATAAGATGCTCAAAAACATTTATCACAAAATTCCTCCGGGAGCCACCTCAAATGGCACGTCCGGACAGAATCTTCTATATAAGGACTTATTTGACGCCTTTTTTGCAACTTCGAGGATCAACATGACTCTTTACTCGTATAAAAAGTAGAAAACAGTTTTTAAGAAACTTTTTTTTAGTAGAAGTGATACTCCGTATAATTTTAACTAGCCTTTTAATTTTGGAAAATGCTAGGGGTACACAAGTTGTACACAACTTGTACACACAATGTCGGTCACAGACAATTGGTACGGAGTTGTCTGTGACCACAGACAAGAGTTGTCTGTGTACACAGAAAAAATTTTGTCTGTTTCCACAGACATTTACTTTTTTGTAAAAAGTACACTGAGAGCCGCCTGACACTGACAAGTACTTTTTACAAAAAGTAAATGTCTGTGGAAACAGACAAAATTTGTCTGTGTACACAGACAACTCTTGTCTGTGATCACAGACAATTCCGTACCAATTGTCTGTGACCGACATTGTGTGTACAAGTTGTGTACAAGTTGTGTACAACTTGTGTACCCCTAACATTTTTCTTTAATTTTTGTAAGGAAAACTAAAGGGAAAACTGTCAAATAGGTCCTCGAACTTTCATAAAAAAGTCAATTAAGTCCTTCTGCAGGAGGTTCTGTCCGGCCGTCGCGATTTGGGGCAGTTCCCAGTGGAATTTTTTGATGAAATTTTTTGTGCATCTTATTCACCAAGTCTAGTTTACTCATACCAAATTTAAGCTAAGAATTTAATTAGGAACACATTCAAATTAATTCGAGAACGCAAAAATGTGCAGTTATCTTCAAGAATTAATTTGAATGTGTTCCCGATTGAATTTTTAGCTGAAATTTGGTATGAGTAAACTAGACTTGGTGAATAAGATGCTCAAAAAATTTCATCAAAAAATTCCACTGGGAACTGCCCCAAATCGCGACGGCCGGACAGAACCTCCTATAGAAAGACTTAGGATGTTTTTACTTGGACTGTAATTTGCTGGTCTGGTCTGGTCTGGTCTGATCTGGTCTGGTCTGAACTGGTCTGGTCTGGTCTGGTAAGGTCTGGTTTCTTTGTATTTTTATAACTATCCAAGTCTGGTCTGGTCTGAACTGGTCTGGTCTGGTCTGGACTGGTCTGGTCTGGTCTGGGGCAAATTACAGTCAAAGTAAAAGCATCCTTAATTGACCTTTTTATGAAAGTTTGAGACGTGACATTTTCCCAAAACTAAAATTAAGCATCACGAATTCACACCATCTCACTGGTAACGCACGCAAATCAACAGCTGAACAAAGCTCAAGCTGCTGAAAGCATAGCTCCTTCCTAGTTCCATTATATTCCGGCGAAAATGTTGCCGCCGGAGCTCCAGCCGCGGACGTTCCGTCCCTACATTTCATCCTCGATAAGCGCTCCTAGCTTTTCCACCGCTTCAAGCGACGCTTATAGCCCCAACCGAAACCCTAGTCTTAGTCCCGATTCTTCATTCTACGGCCTTGGCGGCAGGGCTTCTAATAGATCCCTGAAGAACTCAAGGTTCTCTCCATCTTCCTTCGCGCACAACGCCAGAGTCGCCGTTGCGCTGGTCCCTTGTGCCGCTTTCCTCATTGACCTCGGCGGTATCCCTGTCGTCGCCACCCTTACTGTGGGAGTTATGGTAGCATATATCCTAGATTCTCTCAATGTGAAGTCGGGTTCCTTTTTCGCCGTTTGGCTCTCCCTCATCGCCGCTCAGGTTGTATTCTTCTTCAGCTCCTCACTTATTGTCTCATTCAATTCGGTTGCTCTCGGGATCCTTGCCACCTTGGTTTGTTCTCTAGCCAATTTCCTTATAGGAGTTTGGGCTTCGCTTCAATTCAAGTGGATTCAAATTGAAAACCCGACCATTGTGATGGCTCTTGAGCGTCTTTTGTTTGCATGTATTCCAGTAATAGCTTCTTCCATGTTTACTTGGGCAACAGTCTCTGCAGTTGGTATTATCAATGCGGCTTATTATCTCATGGTTTTTAATTGCATATTCTATTGGCTTTTCTCAATTCCCCGTGTATCATCATTTAAGATGAAGCAAGACGTGAGTTACCATGGGGGTGAGGTTCCGAGTGATAGCCTAATACTTGGTCAGCTCGAGAGTTGTTTGCACACCCTGAACCTTTTATTCTTCCCTCTTGTGTTTCATATTGCGTCACATTATTCGGTTATGTTCTCCTCTAGTGATTCTGTTTGTGACCTGTTTCTTCTTTTCTTCACTCCCTTTCTGTTTCAACTTTATGCGTCCACATGTGGGGCACTATGGTGGGTCACCAAGAACGAGCACCAGGTTCAGAGAATACGGGTGGTGAATGGTTCTATTGCTTTAGTTGTTGTTGTACTCTGTCTGGAGAATAGAGTTGTTTTTCATTCATTTGGGCGATACATTCAAGTGCCACCCCCATTAAATTACCTGCTCGTCACCATAACAATGCTTGGAGGGGCAGCAGCAGCTGCTTCTTATGCTCTTGGGATGATATCTGATGCTTTTACCTCATTAGCATTTTGTACTGTGGCTGTCGTAGTGAGTGCCGCTGGAGCTATTGTAATCGGATTTCCTGTACTGGTATGCATTATGTTTAGTAACTTATCTTAATTGTTCTTTTATCCATACACATCTACTTTCAAATGTGTGCTGCTTTGCTGTCTTTTGATGTTAATGGCTACTAAATATTGTGTTAGATTCACTTTCAAACTTCAAATTTCAGTTGGAGCTTGGGTTGATAATGCTTGCAACTCGTTTTCCTCGTATCATCTAAATACTTTTATTGCATATAGATTAGCCAGTTTTGTGGCCGTAAACGTATTTCTTATTTTGTGCTTCTTTTAAAATTAATCTTCCTTTTCATGGTTATCAACATTGCAATACTTCATCGAGTATTTAGTACAACTTTCTGCTACCATTGAAAGGATTAAACTACACTTGAAATGAACATATGTCATTTTCCCTCTCGTGTAACCCTACCCAAAGTAATGCAATGAATATGAGCAGATGGACCACTCTCCCCTTTGTAAATCACTAATTTTTTGTATTCTTACTTAGTGTACCGGTCAACCAAGTTATTGTATCCAAATGGCCTCCTAATATACTCAATTCATTGCTCAGTACATAAAGTATGGAATGCAGAGTGAAAAATAATACTGTAATATTATAAAATTGCTGGGAAATTTTGAATTTGTCAATCAGAATGTAAATATACGAGTAATAGCATAAATTGTTACTAGGGCTGTAAAACAAATCTGATCAGCCCACCAACTGAAAAACTGACCAAAGCCGAACCAACCAGTCCAAACCTGTACTGACCAAAACTAAACCGAAAAAACCAACAAACCATAGAAGCTTCAATTTACGGTTTGGCATGTTCTTTAGAAACCAACACAGTGACCCAAAACCAACTAAAGCATGCAAGAATCAACACAAATCAACCAAAAATAGCCGAACATAAATCAATCTATGCTACTCGGTTCAACTCATTTTGTTAACAAAACAATCTGCCCCCCCCAATTGTGATTATTTGAAGTACATACGTCTATTGATTCATCTTAATTCTTAAGTTTCTGGCTGTTTTTGTGCACTTCTCTGTTATGAAATATATATTCTTCCTAGGTGCACGTCTCTCTCTCTCTCTATGTATCTGTCTATCTATCTAATTCCTCTTCCTATTTGAGTGGTTGAAAGCAGATGTTTCATCTTATTGCAGTTCATTCCATTTCCATCAATTGCTGGATTCTTTTTGGCTCGTTTTTTTACAAAAAAGAGTGCAGCATCATACTTTGCATTTGTTGCACTTGGGAGCTTGATGGTCACATGGTTTGTGATGCACAATTACTGGGGTCTAAATATTTGGCTGGCCGGCATGTCTTTGAAGTCCTTTTGCAAGCTGATTGTTGGTTGTGTTATCTTGGCCATGTCTGTTCCTGGTTTGGCAATCCTCCCACCAAAACTCCGCCTGTTAACTGATTTTGGTTTAATCAGCCATGCATTTCTGCTATGCTACATAGAAAATCGATTTTTCAGTTATTCGAATACATACTACTATGGAATGGAGAATGACATTATTTACCCAAGTTATATGGTGGTTATGACTACTTTTTTGGGTTTAGCGGTTGTCAGGAGGCTGTTTGTGGACAACCGAATTGGAATGAAGGCAGCCTGGGTTCTAACATGCCTTTATATGTCCAAGCTTTCCATGCTTTTCATAGCATCTAAGACTGTTTTGTGGTCATCAGCAGTTCTTTCACTTGCTGTTACTCCTCCACTGCTCCTTTACAAGTAAATACTCACGGAACTGATTCTTCTTCCATTTTTGTAATATTTTCACCCCTCCTTTCTAAGCCTTCATAAGTGGTATTTATCTCGGAGGCTTTTACTCTGGCATGACATTTCAGGGACAAGTCAAGACCTGCGTCAAAGATGAAACCTTGGCAAGGTTATGCGCATGCTGTGGTGGTTGCCTTATCAGTATGGTTTTGTCGTGAAACAATATTTGAAGCTCTCCAGTGGTGGAATGGTAGACTCCCGTCTGATGGTTTGCTCTTAGGTTCATGCATTCTGTTGACTGGATTGGCTTGTCTGCCCATAGTTGCGCTCCATTTCTCGCATGTTATGGTATTAAGCTCTAAAGCTTTTGTTTGTTTCTTTTACATTTATCAACATGTGTGATTGTGTGTGTGTGAGTTCTGTGGTTGGGATGAGGGTTGTCTTCTTTTCGATCTTTGTTGCTTTTAAAGTTGCTGTGGAACACAGGACTGATGCCTTAAGACCCCATTTGGGGTGGTTGTCACTATTCAGTTTTTGTTTTTACTTCCTCTGACGCCATCTATCCCATTTTATTTGTCTTACTTTCCTTTTTGGGATGTCCCAAAATTAGTGCAACATTTCCTTTTTTGGAATGAAATATGTGATCCACATAATTTCACTTTATTATACTCAATTCTCAACCACAACCTTTACTTTTTCAACCATTTTTTAATAATTGTGCATTTGTGCCAAACTAGAACAAGACACATTTTTTTTTGAAAGATTAAAGCAAGACACATAAAATGGGATAGAGGTAGTATTATTTTAACCAACTAAAATCTTTATCTTATCTTTATTTGTCTAGTATTTATCTTTATCTTATCCTTTTTATCTTACCTTATTTTCTTATCTTTCTTTTCATTTTGGCTCCGATGCCATGTATCTAGGGGTGAGTTCAGTTTTTTCGGTTCGGTTTTGCCAAAAGTCAAATACAGAATCAAAGTAAAAAGTGCGGTTCGATTTTGGTTCAGTTTTTACATTTCAAAACTCGAAACCATGGTTTGATTGGTTTGGTTTCTCTTTTTCAAATTTTTTACTATAAAATTGTCATTTAATTTAAAATGATACGATAGTTGGGGGATCAAACATACGAAGTATTACATAAAAATGCAAGCATACTAGAACAAGTAAAATAAAAAAGAGAAGAAATTAATTATATGAGTATGTGGGAGAGAAAATACACTTCTCGATTTTTTTGGATGAAAAGTGTATTATTCTTAATTGACATATTTTGTGGCTAGTTTGAAAAAAGTTCATGATTATATACGTTCTATGAGGTATAGTTGAGATGAATATTTTTTTTTGTTTTGCCAATATAAATACTTTAAAGAACATAAAATTTAAAATTACTAGTAATAAACTAATAACCAGCAAAAATATATCACCACCACGCAACAAATTGCAAAATACATAAGTAAAAGACACAATAGATCAATATTGCTACATTATTGTAGGGAATGAATGTGTAAATGCATTTATAAGCTAAACTAAATAAACACAACAAAAAATTAATTTTCTAGCATAAGAAAACCAAAGACTACCAATGATACTAGGATTAATGCTTAACAGTTAACAAATAAAATTTCATATTTTAAGTAGTTTGGTTTATTCTCTTTGGTTTTGAATGTCCTAAACCAAAACCAAACCAAACAACTACTGTTCGGTTCGTTTTTTTTACATCGGGGCACCCAATTCTACATGTATCGATTCATGTTAGTCGAACCCAAAATCTTTTGAGACTAAGGCTTGGATGTTGTTTAACCAACCAAAACTGCTTGTACAAATCATGCGATTAAAAAACAGGAATCCGTTGTGTATAAGCAACGGATTCCTGAATATGCTTCTAGTATTTAGTATAAAAAAACAGAAAACCGCCCAAACAGTTCCTTAGTGTATAAGCAATATGCTTTTCCCATACAAAAACTCCATACTCTATTGTGAAATGGGAATCCGTTGCATAGTATTGATTCATATGAACACGGGAACACAAAGGTAGGAGAGTTTACGCCAGAAGTTTTTAGTGTAAAAAACAGAAAACCGCCCAAACAGTTTCTTAGTGTATGAGCAATATGCTTCTCCCATACAAAAACTCCATACTCTATTGTGAAATGGGAATCCGTTGCATAGTATTGATTCATATGAACACAGGAACACAAAGGTAGGAGAGTTTACGCCAGAAGTTTTTATATAGAATATGTTTGGATGGAACCCTGACGTTCTAACAATTGTTTTCTCATCTCTTCATACTTTAGCTTATGCAGTCATAGTCCTTATGAAAAGCATCATGTTAACATTAACTGGGAGTTCTGTTTCTTTTGTTTTTGTTAAAATGCAGCCTGCCAAGAGATGCATGGTGCTGGTGTTAGCTACTGGCCTTCTGTTCATCTTGATGCAACCACCCATCCCGTTTTCATTGAACTACCACTCCGATCTCATTAAATCTGCTCGTCAATCTGTAGATGACATCTCAATATATGGTTTCTCTGCATCCAAGCCAACATGGCCGTCATGGCTGCTGATCATGGCAATCCTCCTGACACTAGCTGCCGTCACCTCAATCATACCCATCAAGTACATCGTTGAATTAAGAGTTTTTTACTCCATTTGCATGGGAGTCACCCTTGGCATCTACATATCAGCAGAGTATTTCCTTCAACCAAAAATCTTACACCCACTCATCATCCTGACCATGGTCATGACCTCTGTGTTTGCGGTCTTCACCCATTTCCCATCTGCCTCAAGCACAAAACACCTTCCATGGATATTTGCTTTAAACGTGGCTCTCTTTCCAGTCACTTATTTGTTGGAGGGCGAGGTGAGAATAAACAGAAATCTTACTGGAGACATGAGGGAAGAAGACAGCAAGCTGGCCACATATCTGGCAGTTGAAGGCGCACGGACGTCTCTACTCGGCTTATATGCTGCTATTTTAATGCTTATTGCTCTTGAGGTGAAGTTTGAACTGGCTTCACTTATCCGAGATAAAGTGCCGGAAAGGAGTGGTGGGTTAAGGCATAGCCGGTCTGGCGAGACTGCCAGCATCCCTCCAAGGGTGAGGTTTATGCAGCAACGGAGGGCGTCCACTGTTCCCAGTTTCACTATTAAGAAAATGGCTGCCGAGGGTGCCTGGATGCCCGCGGTCGGCAACGTGGCGACTATATTGTGCTTCATGATATGCCTTATCTTAAACGCCAACCTCACGGGTGGGTCCACCCGGTCCATATTCTTTTTGGCGCCAATATTGCTACTCATTAACCAGGACTCCGATTTCGTCGCAGGATTTGGGGACAAGCAGAGGTACTTCCCTGTCACACTTGCTGTCTCGTCCTACCTGGCATTAACTGCCATTTATAGTGTGTGGGAGGACGCGTGGCTGGCAAACACAGGGTGGGGTTTGGAAATCGGTGGCCCCATTTGGTTTTTCGCTGTTAAGAATTTAGCACTGCTTGTTCTTACATTTCCGAGCCACATCCTTTTCAACCGCTTTGTTTGGAGCTACTCTAAGCAGGCTGACACACTGCCCTTGCTGACTATACCCCTAAATCTCCCGTCAGTGTTGATGACAGATGTAATCAAGATCAAGATATTGGGACTCCTTGGGGTTGTATATTCTTTAGCTCAGTATCTGATATCCAGACAACAGTATATTTCGGGATTAAAATATATTTAGAGACCAGAAAGAAGACACAACGTTTGTACTATATGTTAATATGTTTTCGTCACCGATTTTCTGGCAAGGATTATGAAAGTCTTGATATTTTTTTTGGCAAAAGTTCAAAATGCCAAACAGGGCGTATCCTTTTGCTGGTGATTAATGTGGTTTGCCTGCATATCACATTCTAATTTACCTTTTGAGCATTGGCTAATTACTGTTGTGGCCACCCACTCATTATCGCAATATACAGACTGATTTTTACCTGATTTCTAATTTGTAGTGCTTATGATTTTGTGTTTCTGATGCGGTAGAGTTAGGCAGTTAGCTAAATGGTCAGGCGCCTCAGCGCCGGAGGGTGAGTAGTGAGATGAGAGGTGTCAGGTCTCGTTTAAGAAAATTTCAACGAGACTTAAACGAGTAAAGATGCCAAGTGTTCAGCTTTACATTCGACCGCATACATATTTGTTTCAAAAATGCTTAGTGTACATTGTTTGTACACTAGTTGTACACCATATAAAAGGGCAAAAATAAATCAGTTCAAATTTTTTACCCCTTTCCCCACCTCTCTCCCACACATGTGCGAGCCTTCTCCCAGAACTCCCATCGCTCCACTTTTCCTTCCCTAGCCGATTTTTTCTCTTTCTGTGCGCATATCTCCCCCCCCCCCACGCCGTTGTTCTTCTTCCTCCAACACGACCAGTCTGAAGCCGGCGTCCTCCTCTCGCACAGACCGTCGTCGGGTCGAAGCGGCCTCATCTCGCACAGACCGTCGCCGGCTCGAAGCGGCTACCTCGGACCCGGTCTGAATCGTCGACTTACAGGCGGAAGAAGACACAACCATGGTGTGTACGTCAAAGAGAAGGTAATATCCACTTCTTGAACACATTTGTGAGTAGTATTGTTGAATTTGACCCCCTATTGTGTGGTTTGTATACCTTGTTACATTCTTGGCTTATTTTTGAAATCATTAGGGTATTTCGAAGTTTACACTTGAAAATTTTAGTTTGATGAAGCGAGAAACACACTGTAATGGTGGGTTGGGAACCTTTAGGGGCCGGATTGTAGCATTTTGTTTTTGTTTTGGGAATGGAAGTATAATGTCTGTGGCCAGACGGTTTGGGTTTTAAAATCGATTTTGATGGAATTCGTCTTGTGTTACATGTGACTTGATTTGTCAATTCTTTAACCTCAAAATGTAAGCAATTCTTCTGTTTTTGAAGCTCTTAATCCACTTGCTATAGGCAAAAATGAATCCAAGCAAGGTGTTCTTTAACCTAAAAATATGTATCGGTGTATTTGTGTAGAGCAAAGGAACTATACGTAACATGTATGTTGAGTGAGACAAATATCTTATAGTAGAGATAGTACATGTTTTACGATTTTATGGTCAATAGTTTTTTTGACCATATACAGAGCTAAACATGTACTATCTCTACTATAAGATATTTGTCTCACTAAACAAGTGTTCAGATTTACATTCGACCGCATACATATTTGTTTTGGATAGTTGTCAACTGACAGGACATGCAATGTACTGATTTTATAGGAATACAATGTACTCAGGCCCCCAATACATATTTTGCCTGCATTTCAGTTAATGAAATGTTAATTGAATTGTATTTTTTCTCAGTTTCTTTAGAATTACTATAAAATTAGAAATGCCACTTTTGGATGAAAGAATTTTTTTCTGTAACGTTTTTGACCCGTGAGTAGTGCCAGGTTGAAGTGAGTAGTCACTCTTTTATTTTTCCCACTGTACTTCTAAATGAAGGGTGTCCCACACGGCCACACAGTATCATTTTTTCCATTGTTAATAGGCCTTGTGCCTCGCAAATTATATGGTATACTCACCCGTATTGTGGATATGGTACAACAGCACAACCAGTAATTTTATACGGAGTAATTAATACGTAGTACTTCGTAACAACTTAGATGATGATAGTTATGGTTAGGGGTGGCATAACGGTTTGGTTTAACTGAACCGTACCAAACCGAATTAAACCGAACCGAAACTGAACCGCATACAATTTGGTTTGAGTTTGGTACTATTTCTTTCAAACCGTATTAAACCGAACTGAACCGAAACCGATAAAACTCAAAACCGAACCGAACTAAAAAAAACCGAACTGAACTAAAGAAACTCAAAATAACTTTCATATATTATTAAAATTGGTGGTTTGATTTAGTTTGGTTGGGGTTTACTTAAGTAAACTGTTTGGTAAACATTTGCTCAAATCGAATGGTTTGGTACTTTGGTTTGGTTTGGTTTAAAACGGAAAAACCGTAAACTGAATCGAACACCGAACAACACACACACACACATACACAGACACACACACAAACACACACATATGTGTGCAGTATGAAGATTGTAAGTTTGGTTGTACCAGTGAAATACGACAACGTGTTTGTCCATTATATGTATGCATTAAGGAAGTTATAAGTTTAGTGACTTGGTGATTTGGAGTGAAACATAACTTTCCAAACTCCTAAACCCTCACCCACTTTTATTAACCATTTAAATCATTGCTATTTTGCTCATTGCACCACATGTAAATCACTACTTATATTTTATTTATGTTGGCACATTGCTTGTACACCATTGCTATTTTACACACAACACCAAAAAACTCTATTTTGATTTTATTGCTTTGTTTTAGTTTATTTGGTTTGGATTTAACCTAAAATAAACCATTTCAAATTAGTAAATGTTGACTTAAAAATATGAAATTATACATTAATTTTTTAACTTTATAAACCGAACATCAAACCGAACTGAACCGAAAATTTCTCGAACTGAACCGAAACCAAACCGAAATACATTTTTCGCCAAACCGAACAACTTGAAACTGAACCGAACCCGATAAAAACCGAACCGTAAACCGATTTGCCCAGCCCTAATTATGGTGATAGTTGGACTCTTTGTTTCTCCTTGTTGTTCTTTTAGTGTGCCGATTTCTTACTGTCCCAAATTCCCAATATATACACCGTTACTTCCTCAATTTCTTCTTTTTTTTTTTATAAAAAAAATTACATCTAAAAAACATACTCGTATGTGAATTCCAAAATATATCAAACGAGATGAGAATTTGATTAAAAAGATATGTGTCTTTTTCATTAGTATTACTACAGTTTTTATTTAAATTAGCTTATAAATGTTGAATTCTCACTAATGGACTAACCCGGTCCAATCATATGAAAAATTCCTTAGTGAATCTTCATTCTTTGTTTGACAAAACATATTATTGTATGCTTCACTTGTATAAAATATTAACACATGTATGATATGCTCTATATAATAGTATTTTTTAGAATATATGTTACTAATTTTTTCTAATTATGGCACCGGCCTTTAACCAATTTTAGATGTTTTTTTTTTTGTATTTTTCGAGCTTGATGTTTAAATATGTTATTAAAATTATTGAGATATGATTTTCCACAATTTAGTCTATAATAAATTAGCGAACATAGTGTTGAGGTTCATTCAATTCACTCAGCTCAAAGGTCAAACACGATAGCTTTGGTGGGTGGTCGAATCGGGCGTATCATGTACGCCTATACGAATGTATGAAGTAAGTGCAAGACAAAGATGTATTTGATTTGTATCAATGAATAACTCTCACAATACACTCAGTAATAGTTATGAATACCAAGTATTTTGCTGTACAAATCGCTACAATGACATTTACACGGAGAGTTTAAGATGGTTAAAGGAACAAGTGAGCATGAGTGATACTACATATGTGTTTTTGCAATAATAAGATGGTTAAAGGAACAAGTGAGTATGAATGATACTACATATGTGTTTTTCCAATAATAAGAGTTTAAAGTGACTTATGTGGAACTCAAAAAAAGACACAACCATCTATTCTCGATGTATAAAAAGACATCATCACCATTCACCGTGGAGAAGTTATGATGCACTTAGAAGTGAGAAAAGTACATTTTAATTTGTAAACAAGTGTGGTACCATAGTGCACCATTTATAGATTTCAAATGCACGTATTAGAAGTTATGGTCTTCATTTTCATTTTTATTTCAATGATAATGTACAAAAGTGCACAAACACATGAGTTATGTGCAAGTTAATGTACTCCGTATTAGATAGTGCATCTCAATGAGATAAAAAGGAACATTTAGAAAAGTGCAACTAATGTACTAAAAAATGCATGAGAATGCACATATATACATATTAAAGTGCATAAGAGTTCAATTAAAGTGGACACTTGTGAAAGTTGTGAGTTCACAACATTGTATACTTTTCATTTTTATTTGTGTTTTAAAGAAATCGATCGACATAAGTGCATGTAATAGCCATAAGTATAAGGTAATATAATAGATAATGCATGTAAATGAGATATGTTGGTAGAAAATAACCCCGGGTAGAGAATTCGGCAGCATTTCAGTATAGTCAGAATAGCTTAGCGTTACACGAGGATCACGTGGCCTATTTATAGGCGATTACAACAAGTCTAACAATAAAAGGTTACATGGGCTTGGCCCAATCTAAGAACTAATATTGGCACTAATGGGCCAGCCGGGCCAGTTAATAAGCAAATAATCCCAAACCGATTTCTGCCAGCCGGGTAGTGTTCTGAGCTTGGTCCGGCCAAAGCTCAAGTATAACGGGCTGATAGTCTTGGACCTGGCCCATTATCCCAACACGAGTCCCCCACTCCCTTAGTCTAGTAGTGGACTCAGCTAAAAGGGAGTAGTTGAGCTGTCTTGGAATCGGTCCGGTTCTGGTCCGGCTGACTGGTCATTGATGAGCCTTGAATTCGGTCACATTGTTTGGGAAAGGATGGAGTCTTCCTTCTTCCGACCGGGAGACCTCTTCCTTTGTTCACGATGATGGGGTGCCTCGTTAAAACCTTACTAGGAAAAACCCAGTGGGAAAAAAATCCTAGTGAAGGAAAAAGAGTACACCAGAACCTTATAATAAAGCAAAGGAAGGTCAATCCCCTCAGTTCTTGATTGAGTGCTTGCTTTACTGGTAAGCCGAGATATGTTCTGAAAAGACCAGTCACATGGTTGTTTGCCAGTGGTTTCAGTCGAGCCAGGGTATGCTCGGGAGAGACCACCTAGCAGCTTTGTTTGTTGATGATGTCGAGCTGAGATATGCTTGGAGAAGGCGGGTCGCAGTTGTACGCTGAGGATGGTGATCCGGGGTATCCTCGGGAGATGCTGGCCACCCAGCTGTACGCTGATGATGGACAACCGAGCTATGATCTGGAAAGGTCGAATGCAATACTGTCCACATTGATCCCCATTGCTTACAAAAGGATAGGATTTCCTTCG